GCGCGACGGCGGTACTTCGCGTTGAGGTCGCAGGGAGTTCTTGTGAGGCCCTCTTGGACACTGGGACTTCAGAGAAGTTTCATTAGTCCTAAAATAGTCGACCAACTACAGTTGAAAGTGCGAAGACTACCAAAAGAACATAGGTTTACCATTGCTACAGGTGCACAATTACGCATTGATCGGGTAGTGACGGGATTGACGCTGTGGTGCGGACATACGCGTTTTTCCGGGGACGTTTTAGTGGGACCCGTTCCCTACGACTTAGTCTTGGCTTTGGATTGGCCGACGGAACACAAGGTGGCCTGGTATTTCCACTCAGACAAGCTCCGAACCTATGTGAATGGCCAGTGGTGCGAGTTATCGGTCGTTCGGACTGGTGAAACGACGCTGCAACGTGATAGTCCCACCGTAGCACACCCAAGGACCCCAGCAGAGCAAGCATAAGAGATACTGGCCAAACAAGTGGCGGGTATGTCAGCCGAGGAGGCAGCTATATTCCTACCCCCGCCTCGAAGGAGGTATAAGTCCCACGCGAAGACTAAGGCGAAGGCGCGGATAACGCCGCTGGTTCGTCAGGCGGCGGCCGACACAAATGATCTCACGACTCCATTGCACGGTTTGCATCTCATACTGGCTTTGCCCGAAGCCTGTTCGGCAGTGCCCTTAAGGCTTTCGGATGAATGGCAAGATGCGCTTTGTTGCGCATTGATTGGGAATTAACCCACGTCCTCTGGCTTCCGTAGTCCTTTAGCCTCAACCACCTCGGTGACAGCGGAGAGCGACGAGGAGTCTCCCTGGCCTATGGCAAAACTCGAACACACTCTATTCGACGAATGGATCAATTCAACTGATGCACAGGATATTCCATGTGAGGTTGCTCAGGTGCTGCACGAGTATCGGGCGGTTTTCCCCGATACCTTACCTAAAGGCTTACCTCCGAAGCGCCCTCACGATCATCATATTCTCCTGGCGCCTGGAAAACTACCAGCGAGATCCGCAATCTACCGTATGACCGCAGATCAGCTCGCTTTCCACAAACAGGAGATAGCCAAATTATCGGAATATGGTTGGATTGGACCGACCTACTCGCCTATTTGCTCTCCTACGATCATGGTGGACAAGCGTGATGATGGCTCCGGGGAGCGGAAGATGCGGATGGTTGTCAATTACCAAGACTTGAATGCGCTTACGATAGCCCCTGATTTTCCACTACCTCCCATTCAAACCATCCTGGAGCTGCTCGGAGGCACCAAGTATTTTTCCACCTTGGACCTGGAAGCAGGATTCCATTAAATACGTATGGCTAAGGAAGACCGGTGGAAGACGGCCTTCCGGTCCCTTCTCGTGCTATTCGAGTACCGCGTGATGCCCTTCGGTCTTAAGGGAGCTCCCGCTACGTTCCAGGCCAACATTAATGCCTATTTACAACCTTTATTGGGGCAGGGCGTTATTGCGTACCTGGATGATGTACTTATCTATAGCTCTGATCTCTCTGAGCACGTCTCTCTTCTGCGACAAGTCCTAAGTATTTTTCTTCGACATCAGTTTTACCCAAAATTCCGCAAATGCAAGTTTGCAAGGCAAACCATTACTTATTTGGGTTACACTGTATCTGCTACGGCGATCAAACCCGCAGAAAACAAAATCGAAGCCATCCGGCTTTGGCCGGAGGTGCTGGAGAACGAAATGCAAGTGCGCCAGTTTCTCGGTACCATAAATTACTGTCGCATGTTCATGGGACCAGACTATGCCGACGTTGCTCGGCCGCTGGTTGATCTAACGCGTAAAGACGTCAGTTTCAAATGGACAGAGCTTCACACGCAAGCGGTGAGGCAGCTCAAACAGCGCTTAATAGACTTCACTACCTTACAGGTCCCCGACACGACGAAGCCCTTCGAGTTATACACAGATGCCTCTGGTTACGCAGTCGGAGCAGTTCTTGAACAGGACGGTAAACCCATCGGCTTCCTCAGTCAAGTCATGAACCCCACGCAACAGAGATACTCGATCTACGATCAGGAACTCTTGGCGTTGGCCACGGCGCTGGACAAGTGGTCGCACTTGCTCCGTGTCTCCAAGGTGACGGTTTTCACTTATCATCAAGCTCTAACCCATCTCCAACGACTCCAAGCATCGAAGCCTCTGCGCGGACGCACTGCCCGGTGGCCGCACTTCCTTGCAGAATTCCCAGATTTGCACATTACGTATGTTCAGGGAGCGCGCAATCAAGTTGCCGATGCCTTGTCTCGCCCTCCCGGCCTCTCTAACACCTGCTCGCACGACACACCACCGGCACCGCTGATGCTCGCAACAGAAGAAGCGAGCGCGGCTTCCCGCTCTCGCGGTCCGCCTCCTAACTATCGCGAGCTCGCCGGAATTCGCCCGCGCCGCCCTCGACGACACAGCACGCAGTCTGCGCCTTCCCCTGCGCCGCAGGAACCCGACCCAGAGCCGGAACCCCCTACACTTACAACGAAGGCACCCGCTGGTCCCCCTGACGCGCGCCATTGGCCGCAAGCGTACTCGAAGTGCCCTGTTTTTCGAGTTCCCTACAAAGCCGCAGCGAACCAACCAGGAGAAGCTCTGCAGATCGAGTTCTGTCACCGCCAATCTACCTTTCGCTACGTAGAGCCTTACCTGCACATCCGCGTTCATGGACTGTGGCGCATCTGCGTCCCCCAGTTCCCTGAGTTCCTTACTCACGTTCTGCATTCGCATCACGACCATGTCACAGCAGGCCATTGAGGCCAGAAAAAGACCTTTGCGGCCCTCAGCAAGCACTACTACTGGCCTGGAATGCGTGCCTATACCACCGCTTATGTTGAGTCATGCACCCACTGTCGCGCTTCAAAATCCATTAACCAGAAGCCTGCAGGCCTTCTCCAACAGTTGCTCATCCCTTCTCGTCGATGGGCGCACGTGAGCCTCGATTTCATCACAGATCTTCCCCTTACAACGACAGGGCACGACTCGATCCTTGTCATGGTCGATTCCCTCAGCAAGATGGCTCATTTCGTTCCTGCAAAGAAATCTTTCACAGCAGCAGACACCGTGGAGCTCCTTGCAGACCGCCTTATCCGCTACCATGGATTTCCAGAGGTGCTTATATCGGACCGAGACCCCCGTTTCCAGTCGGATCTGTGGAATCAGCTCTGCCGCCGCTTTGACATCAAACGGTGCATGTCCTCGCCCTACCATCCCCAAAGCGACGGCCAGACTGAACGAGTGAACCGCACATTGGAGCAGATGCTTCGTACCTATATCAAATCTGACGAACGCGAATGGGAGCGTTTGCTCCCGGCCTTGGAACTTGCCTACAACATAACAAGTCATTCATCCACTGAGCTCTCTCCTTTCGAGGTCATGATCGGCGAGAACCCGTTGACGGCTGCGGACCTTGATATCGTAGGCGCGCTACCTCCTACACTCACTCCCCCGATGACTAAGCTCTTCCGACAGCACTGCGACAGGGCACAGAGCCACATCCTGAAAGCAAAATGGCAGCAGAAGTATTACGCAGACACGAAGCGCCGAGCAGTGGAGTACGCGGTGGGCGACAAGGTCTGGCTCAGCAGCAAGCACCTACCGCCTTTCAACAGCTGCCCTAAGTTCGAGCCCCGTTACCGTGGACCCTTCGAAGTCATCGAACGGATAGGAACCGTCGCTTACCGTCTCGCTCTGCCTCCTACGTATGAATGCCATGACGTTTTCCACGTTTCGCAGCTAGTTCCTCACCGCCCCCGCCCTCCCGCTTTGGTTTCCTCGGCAGCCGATGCTGCCTGGCCTCCTATCCACGATGCAGCAGATAATCCCACAGCGGAATACGAAGTCGACTATATTATGGACCAACGCGGCTCTGGAGATGCAGCCCAGTACCTCGTGAAGTGGCGCGGAGCCCCTGAAGATCACGCCACATGGGAGCCAGCACATCACTTTACTGGCTGCCCAGCTTTGCTTCGCGCTTGGCGCCGCCGCCAACGAAGACGTCTTCAGGCTCGAAACAACTTGGGTTCTTCCGAAGCGTAGAAGTACGGGTCCGCCACGTTCCAGCTCCTCCAGCACGAGCACCCCTTCAATGAGGAGGGGGGAGGGGGCGCTGCGCACCGCGCGCGCTCACCACGGCAGCTTTGGAAGGCACAGAGATTGCAAAAGCAAAAATAACGCGTTTGGGACAGGTCTCTTCAGTCCGGCAAGGGGGGAAGTTGTAGTGCTGAGACACTACAATGGGGCTGACTAGTGTCCTAGGGATGATAGCTAGCTAGCGACCTGCAAGGGGCCGCGACACTGGAGGGGGACAGGGCCCCCCCAATACATGAAAAAATAAGGAAACCGTTAGTGAGTTCTAGTGAAAACGTGAATTGTGCGGAAATCGTGTGGAGACTGGGGCAGGCGATAGCGCCGGCACCAATGCGACCTCTCCCCCCTAGGGTATAGGGGGTAAGCTACTAGAAGGGAGCGAATCGAAGACAGTGAACACACACACTTCCTGAATCGTCGTATTTCGACGGGAATAAGCGGTAGAGACCGAGAAATGGGGCTAATCTAGGTGTAGAATGTAGACCTGTAGAGGGACAGGAAACAGCGTAGTCGCAGCAGTAGGCGCCGCGCACTACAAGTGCAGGCCTCCTCCTCACAGGGCCTAGGGGGCGAGGACCCCGAGTGGGGCGGACTGGACGATAACAGATTTTGGGAAACTAAGAATAACTGTATTTCGATATATATAGGCTACTGTTTCAAGGAAATGGACCAACGTTAGGTGCCGATCATAGGCCCCTGCTCGAGGGAGCAGGTAGCAGTGTAGTCGCAGCAGTAGGCGCTGTGCACTACATTTGGGGGCTGTTCCGGGATTGAAATCTTTGTTCTTTCCGGACTTGGGAGTAGAAATAATATGTTTAAATAATTCACGCCTGGAAATCTTCGCTCGGTAAGGGATGCATCTCCGCAACGGACGCGTTATCGGCCCTACACCACAAGAGACTTCTAGAATATCAGTGAGCAAAATGCCGAGCGGGAAGCCAGCCCATCATCGCCATGCTACTCCGAAGCCTACAGTCGCAGAGCGGCCGCATGGGCATAAGGAGGGGCCCCCGCAGGTGATATCTATGACCAATGTTATGCCAGGGGGCAGTCCCTTCGTCACGAGGGACCAATTCCAGTCCGCTATGAGTGTGATAAGAACTGTTATAGGCGGGACCGTGGAATCGGGCGCAACAATTCCCATACTACCAGAAGACGGCAGCACTATGCAGGCCTTTCTGCTGCACATCGAGCGCCGGTACACCCAGATGGGATTGGAGCCGCGCGAGTGGAGGAATGCACTTATTGACCACCTTGTGGAGGATTGTGTTTCAGACCGTCTGAAGCGCAGCCCTTGACTCTGAAGGAGATCGCTGGCTTGGCAGTGCAGGTCAGGCGCGGGGCCACGTCGCGGTTCTATGGTGTAGCGGTTAGCACTGCGGACTCTGAATCCGCCGACCTGGGTCCAAGTCCCAGTAGGACCTTCCAGCTGTGCTTCTACGTATATATATATATATATATATACAGCTTTGAATCTTTTTTTTGCCTCTGCTGTCAGTTGCAGGAGAGGGGTGGCAGCTGGCAAGTTTGTGACATGCACAGGAGATTGCTTGCTGGAATGAACCCTCTGTTTCTGTACCGCGAGAACTACAATGGGGCCCGCTTTCTGTTTGGGTGGTTTTGGGCACATAAATAGATTGAAATGCTTGACTGTGTGTAGAGCGTAGAGCAACTCGTGTTACGGAGCTGTTGGTAGATAATGGTGTAGCCAACAGTGTGCTGCGACAGTTGAACAGATCAGCGGAGTCCAAGGATAGCATCAACGCGCAAAACCTATGTGACACTCCGAAGTTTCGATTCCTGGACTACGATTCTGCCTTGGTGCGTGGCCAAAGAGACCGCATAGGAAGGGAGTCAAGTTCGCCGCCAGCGACGCAGGCCAGACGGACCTGAAGCACGGCTCTTATTATATATTATTTGCCTTCGCCTTAGTCTTTGCATGGGACTTATACCTTTTAGGTGGCGAGCGTAGGAATATGGCGGCCTCCTCCGTTCACATACCCGCCACTTTCTTTGCCAATATCTCGTATGCTTGCTCCGCAGGGGTCCTTGGGTGGACTACGGTGGGATTGCCATCTTGCAGCTTTTCTTCACCAGTCCTAACGACCGGTAACTCGCACCACTGGCCATTCACATAGGTTCGGAGCTTGTCGGACTGGAAACACCAGGTCAACTTATGTTCATTCAGCCAATCTAAACCCAAGAGTAAGTCATAGGGAACGAGCCCCGCTAAGAAGTCCCTGGAAAAGCGTGTATGTCCGCACCACATCATCAACCCCGTCACAACCCAATCAATGCATAATTGTTCACCTGTAGCTACGGTGAACCTATGCTCTTCTGGAAGTCTCCGCACCTTCAGCTGCAGTCGTTCGACTGTTTTAGGACTAACAAAACTTTTCGAAGCCTCAGTGTCCAAGAGCGTCTCGCATGGGCTTGCTGAGCTCAAGGCGAATTACCGGCGTCGCACCCACATAGCACAATGCTCCCCCTTGGTCGTAAGGCTCTTTCGCGCAAGTTTTCCGCCGCCAATGTGGCACAGTCCCAGTTGCGTCTGGCCTGTAGCCTTCTTTTGTTACCTTTGCAGATTTCCTGCTGCTAACTGTCTCTACGCACAGAGGCTTTTCACTCAGGATTGGCGTCGACCCAGACTCCCACCGCGTTTACGAAAACGGCTTAGTCTTTTCCGCTTGCTTATCGCTCGTACTAGCTCCCTCCGCAGTGTTGAAGAGCTGGTTTTCCCACTTAAGGGAGACTGGAATGGCATTCGGGCCTGTCGCTACCGCACACATCATCCCTTTGCCATGGCTTCGCGATCTAGTACGCTCGTTTCCAACCACGCCTAGGCCACGCTGTTTAAACGTTCCGTCTTCTCAGTGCTGGGACGGTTAGGTTGCCAACTGCTCCTATTTTCCGGCTCGGTACGGCCTCGGTCGTGTGTAGGAGAGTCTCGAGCATAGTGTCCCACACATCCACACTTCTTGGAGGTCTCGCCTGGACGCTCGGTACGTTCTCCCTTGCTGGGACAAACGCGTCCCGGGTGCCTGCGACCCTGACACTCATAGCAGTTCCCGGGGTTTCCTCTAGGAGAACAAAAATGGGTCTGGTTCGGACGGGGTCCATTTCCCTCGATAGCAGCTCTGATGGCTCTACTGGCTCTTTCACGTAGATCTAGCACGGTCTGCTTAGGCTCGTAGAGCCGCTCTGCCGCTGTCGCCGCCTGTTCCCAAGAGGAATACTTGACCTGCCCGTTGTTTGTTATGAGAAGATGGAGGCCTGTTGGTAGCCCGGTGCAGTAATAGTCAGCGAATTCGTTGGGGGCGACCCCCAAACCACGCTCCGCTACAGCCGCAAACTGGTCCGTGGATTCCTTAGGGTTACCACTTCATCGTACACTAGCCAACTCCGTTGATAGTTGACTCTGCGACATTGTTTTGTCGAACCGCCCCAAAAGCCTGCGCTGTACCTTCGCCCAGTTGCTTAGGTCGATAGTTCGCCGTAGGTGCATCCAATATGTTAGAGCCGGGCCCACAAGGTGGGCAATAAGTGCATTTCCCCACTCGCGCGGCTCCAATCCCATCTGGATGTACCGGCGCTCGATGTGCAGCAGAAAGGCCTGCATAATGCTGCCGTCTTCTGGTAGTATGGGAAACGTTGCGCCGGATTCGCCGGTCTCCCCTATAACAGTTCTTATCACGCTCACAGCGGATTGGAATTGGTCCCGCGTGACGTACGGACTGTCCCCTTGCATTAACATTGGTCATAGGTACCACCTGTCGGGGAGCCTCCTTGTGCCCATGCTGCCATTCTGCCACGGTGGGTTTTGGAGTAGCATGACGATGATGGGCCGGTGTCCCGCTGGGCATTTTACTTACTGATTGTAGAAGTCTCCTGTTATGTGGGGCCGATAACGCATCCGTTGCGGAGATGCATCTTTTACCGAGCTAAGATATCTGGGTCTGAATCATTAAAACAAAGTATTCCTACTCTCAGGTCCGAAAAGGAACAAAATTTCAGTCCCGGAGCAGCCCCCAAATGTAGTGCACAGCGCCTCCTGCTGCCGACTACGCTGCTACTTGCCCCACGAGTAGGGCCTATGTAAGCCTTCTGCCTTCGATGCATCTCTATGTATACCATTAAATGTAGTTTTCTCCTTCAGTTTTCCAAATCCACTTTTCTTGAAAATGCCCCACTCAGCGTTCTTGCCTCCTTGGCCCTGTGGGAAGGAGTGTAGTGCGCAGGCAATACAATGGGGCTTGCTGGTGACCTATAGAGGATAGCTACAACTGCACTGTCAATATCGAAGCTTTCACCATTAACGACAGTGAGCAAGGGCTCATGAGGGACTCTTCTCACCCTGAGTTTTTGTTAGCCTACAGCCAGTGGACTGACAAACCTGCAATGCGCGCGGCTTCAGTATCGAAGAGGCCTTCATTACAGCAAACACCGTAAGCCGGACAACTGCGGTGAGTCCGTGCTGCACTGCAGATCCGGCACTCAGTGGCCGGGTCTCTACTCAGCATATTGCGACACCACCGCTACTCATAGTCTATGTTTGCGCTTCCCTCGATTATCTGAGCACTTTTCTGACGCCCGACTGCGTTTCTTTGCTGCTGGTTTGGGAGGCTGTTCCCAATCCTCACCCTGCTGATCTTTGTAAGTCCGTAGCATCTGCTTCTGCTTTCTCCAGCTAGAAAAGGCTACCATGGTGGTGGGGCCTCTTGCCCTTGCCACTCCGCATAGGTTCCTCTCAGTGTCCCTGTCACTTGGTGCATTTGTGTCATCTGTAAAAGCTTAGTTCGACTCTCCGCACAAGTAAGCGTTAGGAACCTTACATTATCACATGACTTCGCCCATGGTCTACCGACGCAGGGCAGTCCCAAGTATATTAGCCATCCCCTTCTCACATCTTGCACGTTTCCGCCATTGTGTTAGCCCGTGCCTTTCTTTAAAGACAAGAAAGCTTCTGGTGGTGCTCCACTTTGCACTCATAGCAGGCGAATGCTTCTCCATCACTACTGTCATCACGCCCCCATGTCTTGTTCTTCTCTTCAACAGTAGTTCTTGTTTGCTCTGCTGCCTGCCTAAATGTCTCACCGAACCGCGTTTACTCTAATGGTTATGGCTAGCCAGGGCCCGCTCGTGCAGACCGAGTCTTCCGCTCCTTCCTTCTATGATGGCAGCTTGACTGTCATCTCCTTCTAGTGATATGCTCAAGTCCGAAGTCCCAGTGTTTTGCAGAAAAGCGGCTTGACACGTCATCCTTTCTTCTAGTGATACCAAACTTTACTGTGGCTGCGAATAGTGTTGTATAACCTTCCTAATCTTCCTTCCACTCGATTCTATCTAGTTTTCTCAACATCTTCGTTTGTGACAGAAAACAGAACTGACTAGGTAACCACTGTTTTACCAGTTCTCAGTTGTTCATATTTCTGACGCGCTCTAGGTATATACAGTGCAGTATACCACATCCCTTCTGCAGTTTATACGCTCGTACCACCATCATAGTGAATCTCGCACCGTATCGGTGAAGGAGATATCCAGAAGTCTCCCGGAAAAAGTCATCGTGAAGCTCCTATTCTCGCGTTTCAGGGATTTCTATTGAGCCGGAAATGCCGTCTCCAAATAAATTCGCCCACAAGACCCGCTCAACGTTTCCTCTCAGGCGGTCAAGTGCTCGATGGCAATAACCTGGTTCTGCTTATCTGCAATGTAACATCCCCCAGAAGCAGGTTATGGAGGTGTCCTCTCTCCTGAACACCTCAGCGTTTCTTAAAGCTCGGCCCTCAGGTGTTCTGATTGCTAGTTCAAAGGGCATCTGCTGGGTGCTGTCTCTGCGAGCATCTTTGGTGAGGGCTTTTCCGGTACTTTTACGGCTTTAAATATCAACATGACCTGTGAGGCAGCTCTGGATATTCTAAGACATCACACACCAAGCCTAGTTCAGCGACTACATGAATCATCTCTACTACACCACACAAAAGTAGCACAAAGGTTTGAATATTACAGACACTTAGTTTAGGACAATCGGAAGCTCTCAAAGACGCATCTCTCTGCAACGCCTGGCCCATCCATCCGCACACAGTAGTCCTTGCCTGGGATTAAAGAATCTAACTATATGCCTGTTGAAGAAGGAGCTGACGAGTCTTAATTATTTTAAGCATTTGGTTAATTTTATTTAATTGAAGCCAGAGTTAACGCGAGTTATTATAATATAATAACAATTGCTTATAATTAAGAACCCGAACCCGGATGAATTAATCTTGTCCAGAATGAAATATAGATAAGTCTATATAGAGGT